GAGCAAAGCATAAAACTCTGTGAGTAATAATTAGAACATGAAAACACTCTAAGCCTTACCCATTGTCCAAATGAAATATACGCAGTCCCATCTGTACTACATTTTTCAGAATCACCAAAAGGATTGGACTTGTCTCTGCATAAAGCCGCTATGAGAACAAGTGGCACATTCCCAATGTTTCCTGCATTTAGAATTAATACTCAGAGAATTTGATAAACACATAATTGCTCTTGTCAGAACCAATTAAAAGCAACAAGACAATCATTAGAGCTAAATTGCGCATATACTTAACATCAGAGCTTTACAAGGGTATGCAAAGGAAGCCATACTAAAAAGAGAGTGAGTTCAAGCTGTGGCACTCAAGTTCAAACAACAATATAGCACACAGGATTTCATGTTGTATTTTATAGTCAAAGCGTTTTACCAATTCCAATCTGTATGATTGTAAACTTGAAAAATGGGTATGGAGGACGGACAACCGTCGCAATTACTAAGCCTATCAGTGAACCTGAGATAGAACCAAGAACAACATTCATGGGAATGAACCACCTGCAATGTGAAGGAAATAAGTAAATTTGATGAAAAAATATGTTGCTTTGTTGACAAGAAACAAGCAATAGCACACTTCTAGTTCTTACCACTGCATCATTTTCTCTAGAGTGACAGCTTGTCCAAGCTGGGAAAATATCAAACAAGGAAGCAAAAGTGAAAAGACCAACTGCAAAATATTGTAAGATTAATCAGTCATCAATGAAAAAGGAACTTAGCAAAAAATTCAGTACATTTTTCGAAAATGAAAAACTGCCACAGGATTTTATCAGCAGAAAACTTGAGAACAAAGCACCTAGTTTTTTCATTCCAAGTTCCTCATAAAATTACATGAATTGTCAAGTATCACAATTAAGAGTCTAGGGGGAGGCTTTTTATCAACTTTGGTGAAAAGATACGAATAACAGAATTGATAGCTAGCACACATGTTATATAAAATAAACACGTGAATACACAAGTACAAGTAAAGCAGAGGAGAAAGTGAAAGTAGTACCCCGTTCAAAAGCTTCCTCCCATTGGCAGGTAAGATGTTAACATACTTGGAAGCCATAAGAAATCCCAAAAAGCAAACTGTGAATACTTTCGCTATGGGCAATACTGCAATCTTTATGGTCCCCACTAATGACTGTGGACCTGCCTGCTTCCCAATCGCCTCTGCCACTGAGTACAGAATCCTCTCCATGTTCTTAATAATAATTCCTACCAGTTCCAATCCACCTTACATCCACTAGCAGCAGCAACCAGTCGATCTAGTTACAACCAACCCAGATTTATGTTCGAACAGAGAAACCCTAAGAAACGCAAATTAATAACAATCTTCAGCAGCCAGACACACAACTATACCGCGGAACGGAGAGAAAATAAAAACCTTCTCTGCTCCGTGATCCTGCGCTTTAAAAAAGAGAAAGTAAAAAACAGTGCACACGCGAAGTGAATTGAAGAATATGGTACATAAATTTGACTAGATTCATTTCCGTTTGGAAGTAGGATCCTAATCCGAAGTACAACAGAGGATGCAAATTGAAAACTACCATAAATAATAAAAAACCAGTAGGCTATTGCCAAACGCTTATTATTACGTGAGCTAAACTGTATTTCAAATTCAAAAAAACACGGTTACACTTTTTTAGACGCAAGTAGTCGCACCATCCGATTTAGTTGTAAATCTGTCTCTCCGTGCGTAAACATAAACAAACAATATAGACGTAGATACAAACACAAATACATAAATATAAATATTAACAGAGAGAAAAGAAGAGATAGATACAATGGAAAGGAAAGGAATGCAAACTGCAGTATTAGGATGGAGAACCTGATCAAGGTATGAGAATCGTCGTCTCCTCCGTATTCTCGTAGGTTCTCTCCTCTCTGTCAGCTTTCAGATATATTTTTCATTTACGAGATTCTACAGGTTTCGTATTCGTATATTAATTTCGGTTATTATATAAAAGCGACTTAACAAAGGGTTCGTTTACTAATTTACCCTTATTATGAAAATTGATTTACCTCATATGCCATTCCGCACGGTAATGGCCGGAAATTTCCTCATTTGTTCGCCCCTTAACGTTTTCGCCAGCATCCAACTTCTTTAAATTTCTTTTTTTATTTATTTTTTTTTTTCTGCAATTTTTTGTTTTATTTAAAAATTTAAAGACAGAATTCTTTTATATATTTTTATTTTTTGATATATTTAAAATTTAAAAAATTTAAAAACCAAAAATCATTGGTTGAGGGTCGTGTTGTGTAAAAAGTAATTTTATTTTTTATTTGTATATATTTATACATATTTTTATTTGTAATAGATATAAAATTTATATTTTATGAAATAATTGAAGCATAAAGAAAAGAAATTTTTTTGAAATATTAAATAATAATTTAATTTGTTTATAATATTATTGTTATTTTAATTATTATTTTCCTTATGAGTGATTAGTTTATATAATTTTATTAATAAAATACACAAAAATTCTATCAAAAAGAAAAAGAAATACAATAGCTAAATGAAGCCTTATTTTCAAATTTTATATTTCATAAAACTTAGTTATAAATTTTATTTTAGACTAATTATTTGAAATTTATGTACTTAGTTTTTATACCAATTATTATCAATCTTTTTTAAAAAAATAGATATGATATCTCAAATGTTAATTAAAATATGTGAGTGTAAGATACAAAAGTAGAATAACGAATGGATAATAAAAATTATATGCAGCGAAACAAATTAATACAAATCTCTTACAAATATATAAGTTCTAATTATATACATATATTTGAGGTCAGAAGTGGCTGGAAAATATAAAAGTCAAAACACAAAAGAGAATTACTTCTTTTACTATGCTATTGGACTCATTAGAGTGCATGAACAATTATGCACTCAAGTTTTGTGAATCCATAAGATTCTCATAAACTTTAATAGGTAGGTCGGCTGGCAGTTCCTCATTTTCTTTCTCATCTTTGGGGGAGGGGGGAAGGGGCATGAAAAAAATAAATTTTATATGCTCAGTAAGAAAAACAGTATTTAAATAACATCGTAAGCTTTAAAATGTAAATTATTATGACATACATACTTACTATTTAATTACTTCGTAGACCTATTTTAACTTATAAAAATAATTTATTTATTAGAAAAAACATCACGTTAGTATAATCAAACAAACACACATCATACAAGAAATTGAAAAAATCAAATAAATTATTAAATGCTCATATTTTCGTCTCATGTTTCGTGAAGCCATTACGACTTTCATCTTTGAAGTCATATACAGATTTCTGACCACCCATGTAGAATGACCAGATCAAATACAGATACAGCAATTTGCTCAAGCACATTTTCGGCTTGCCAAACTATGGTACGATATATGACCACAGTCGTATCGACCATAATAGTCCTATAAGATATTCTATGGTCACAATAGTACTTAGCCAAAGATGACCCCTAACAGATATTCACATCACTGCTCTCGTCAAATACGTCATTATCCATAGGGAGCGGTCCTATTACGTTTTTTCAGACCAGATGGGAGAGCGACAAATAGATACCCCTCAAAGATAAAAAGTCTAACGAGACATTTGATGCATTATGCATGTCAATACAGATACATACTCAGACTATTCATGCTTTATTCCACAGTTCCCATTTTTTTTGTTTCTTTTATTTTCCAGGTATTCTTACCGGTTTCATATTATTTTAATTACATGCAAATCATCAAGTATTTATAAATCACATAACATGCTTGAAATAAAAAATAATCCAACTTATTAAACCTACAAATATAAAAGCATGCAAAACAGGCAAAAAAACCAAAATATCAATTTAATCTCTTTTTTTGTCTAAAAATACATGTTGAGACATTTAAAGAAATATTAAATTTTTTACCAAAACCTTGATAATTTCTTCTACACCATTCTTCTTTTCTTCCTCTCTCTCTCTCCCTCTTTCCCCCTACCTCTCTCTCTCTCTCTAACTCTTGAAAGGTGGAATAATGAAAGTGTGAAGAAAATGGGAAGGGAGGGCCCTTATTTATAGAAATTGGGAGCCGTTGAATTTGTTCTAAGTGGCAAAATTATGTGAAGAGAGAGAAAAAGATGCTTGACATGAAAAATAGATGAGGAAGGTCTCCTTCACCATTAGCGGTGCGTCGCTCGAGGTGGGCAGCGGTGCACTGCTTAAGGCAACAGTGCTCGCCCGACACGCTGCAGGCTAGCCTGCAGGCACATCGCCTAAATGTGTTGGACACTGAGCACGCAGGCTTACTGCGCAAAGGGCCCAGGCGCACAGGGGCCTATCAACTGCGTGGACGATGCATGCATAGTGCGCAGCGCTTATCCATGCGTGAGGTGACATACGGACGGCCCGCCGCAACAAGACGCACCCAAGGTTGACCCTGCACGTGGATGGGACGTGCACCCTGTGCGCACATCCGCTGCGCAGGCGCCAGTGCCGACAGCTCCATTTCCTGTGGAATTTTCTCCTGTTTTTTCATTTTTTTGAAATTCATTTTTAGTTGAACTGAAATAAATAAAATTAACTAAAATCAACTAAAATAAAATAAATTTAAATAGAATCAATTAAAATTAAATAAAATTAAATAAAATCAAAATAAATAAAAATCAATATAAATTTACGAATTACGATAATAATTTGTGAAGTAAATTAAATGAGTTCAATGCAGCCAAAATGCCCGAATAAATAGAGTTTTTCAAATTAATTAAGTACAACGATGAGTGAGGTGCTATATCCCCCCCCACCTTAAAAAAATTTGGTTCTTAAATTTATCTCGAACAAGTCCGGATACTTCTCCCTCATCTCGCTTTCCAACTCCCACGTTGCTTCTTTCGATGTATGATATTGCCACTGCACCTTCACCATGTGAATCGTCTTATTGCGTAAGACCTTGTCGGTCCATTTAAGAATCTCCATGAAGATTTTCTCATACACCATATCAGCTTATATCTGCGCTTCATTGTAAGGAATGACATGATAAGAGTTAAGGAACCTTTTAAGCATCAAGACATAAAAATAATTATATAATAAACTCTCGGAGTAGAGTAAGGTGGTAGGCCATGGGTGCAATGCACTCAATAATCCAAAAAGTCCCACATAACGAGGGCTTAACTTTTCTCTTTTCTCGAACTGCATTTTTTCCTTATAAGGGAAAACCTTGAGGAAAACCTGGTCTCCAATGGAGAATTCCAGGGGTCCCTACGATTATCGACATAACTCTTATGACAGCTTTGGGTGGTAGCCAAATTCTTGCGAATGATCATGACCTTCTCAATAGTCTATTAGATGAAGTCCAATTCAAAATGACACTAACTACCGACTTAATTCCAATAAGTGGGAGAACGACAAAGCCTACCATACAATGCTTCATATGGAGCCATGCCGATACTAGAATGATAACTATTATTATAAGTAAATTCACATAGGAAAAGATACTCATACCAGTTATCGCCAAAGTCAAGGACACAAGCATGCAACATATCTTCCAACGTTTGGACTGTACGTTCCGATTCCCAATCTGTTTAGGGATGATAAGCGGTGCTGAAATACAATTCAGACCCCAAAGCTTCCTGAAAGTTATTTCAAAAGTGGGAGGTAAATCAAGGATCTCAATCTGACACAATGGATAAGGGAAGACCATGAAGTCAAACAATCTCATCAATATAAAGACGGACTAATTTACTGGTGGAGTTAGTGGTTCTGATGGGTAAAAAATGAGCAATCTTAATTAGTTTGTCAACAATGACCCAAATAACATTCCGACTATAACAGGTCATGGGTAATCCTGTGACAAAATCCATAGTTACATGCTCCCACTTCCATTCTAGAATTGAGAGGCCTTGTAACAAACTGTCAGGTCTATGATGTTCTGCCTTAATTCTCTGACAGTAAGGCATTAGGAGATGCAGTCGACTATGTCATTCTTTATTACTGACCACTTGTATTGTCGCTTCAAGTTCTGGTACATCTTGGTACTCACGGGATGGATGGATAGCTTGAAAGCATGGGCAGTCTTGAGAACATCCGCCTTTAAAACGACGGGAACCCAAATTTGGTTCTGAAATCGAAATAGTCCATCATCTGAAATCCTGAAATTAGGAAATTTGTCAAAAGAAAACTTACCTAGATTCTTGGTGAGTTTCGAATTTGTCGATTGTGCTTTCTAAATTTTAATAAAGAGGTTCGGTAGGGCTCGGATCTGAGTGAGATAAGTGTCCTTACCATAGTAGCTAAGATGAAGCGAGTGCATAGCATCCATCAATTTTAAACTAGAGGTCATGATTTGGGTCAACACCACAGACTCCTTTCAGCTTAGTGCATCGACGACTACATTTCTATTACCGGGGTGATAGATAATCTTGCAGTCATAATCCTTCAAGAGATCCATTCAGTGTCTCTATCTCATATTTAACTCCCTCTAGGAGAAAATATACTTCAAACTCTTGTGCTCAGTGTAAATCTCAAAAGTCTGACCAAACAGGTAATGATGTTATATCTTTAGAGCAAAGATAATAGTCACCAACTCCAGATCATAGGTCGGGTAGTTTCGCTCATGAGTTTTCAACTATCAAGACCCGTAAGCCACTACTCTACCATGCTGCATCAAGATACACCACAAGCCAAAATGAGATGCATCGCAATATTTCAATAGTGTTAGGGAGGATTAACATAAGAGCAAAGGTAAAACGATGCTTCAATTCCATGAAGCTTCTATTGCACTAGTAATTCCAGACAAATGGTATACCTTTTGGTTTTAAGTCGGGTTAATGGAGCAGCAATCTTAAAAAATTTATCGATGAATCGCCGGTAGTAACCTATCAAGCCAAAGAAACTATGTACCTCGTCCACATTGGCGGATGAATTGCAATTGACTACCGTTTCAACTTAGGACAGATCCACAGAAAATCCTTCA